AAAAAAAAAGACATGGAACCCAATAGACAACAAGAAATTCGAAACCTTTTCATACGTCCCGCCTCTAACTGAAGAATCAATCGCAAAGGAGATCGATTACATGATCAAGAAAGGATGGATCCCTTGCCTTGAATTCGACGAGGTACAAATTAATCCAAACGGGAAAACGAACTGAATAATCGATATCCAGATTTTTTCTTTTATAATTTCAATCTCTAACTCGTAATATTTTGTTGTGTAAGGTGGGGCATGTATACAGAGAAAACAGCAGAATGCCAAATTACTGTGATGGTAGGTATTGGACTCTATGGAAGCTGCCCATGTTTGGCTGCAATGACTCTACACAAGTGTTGAATGAAATTCAAGAATGCAAAAAGGCTTACCCGAATGCTTATATTCGATGCTTGGCATTCGACAATAAGAAACAGGCGCAATGCATGGCCTTCCTCATCCAGAAGCCGAACAAAGCCACCTAAAAGCCATCTGCTTTTTTTTTTTTTTTTCTCAACATCAGAATCCTATGCTGTTCTTTTGTGCTAATGTGATATAATGCTACAAGTCAGGAAATAAAATTAATGGCTCTTAAGTACTTTCAATGAAGCAATGATTGGCACACAATACACAAATTAGACCTTTGATACCAAAAGTAGGCTGTAGCTAAATTGATAAGCCAAACAAATATTACTCATCTTTATGTTAACACAAGCCAGAAGTATAGGAGTAACCACATTGATAAAGCATAGTAACACTACAAACCGTTAATGAAGTGAAATATTGGTACAATTGCATTCCCAATTACAAACTAAAACACGAGCACTGCATCGTCTCCTGTTTACTCGCTTGATCCCAACCAAAGAGGATCTGATCTCCACATTTAAGGAATGTGAACAAGCATGAACTTCAATCTGCAGCAAGGCCAACAATCTTGTGAATTGCAAAACAATGGTCAAGGAGGAGAAAGCTTAAACTTCACAAAAATAACGTCCATTCAAATAAATAAATCGAAAATTAAAATTATCTTGACAAATCATCCATTCTGTACAACTAAATATCAATTTTTTTCTCAAGGGAAAGAAACAAGGCTCCACATTGTTCTTGGGTTTGGCATATATCATAATAGTTGCATCAGAATCATTCAAGAACTGGTATATATGTATGCAAGGAACAACTGGAATTTGTTGCCAAACAAGACGAGATACTGATGAATGATGATAGAGAACTTTGATGCCTAAAGCTAAAAAGTTTCTGCACCAAGACACTGGTGAACTAAATTCAGAAAATGCAGCACTTAATATAGATGATAAGATGAACATGTCCACCTTTCCTCCTTTCATCTTGTATTATTCCTTTCCCACATTCTGGAGACTCAAACAATCAAGGCCAGAACAACACTAACTGCTTATTCAACTTTTTGTGCTCTTAGTTATTTTCCAGCCAACATACGAGTATCGAACCATCAGAGGTTATTGTTTCATTTTTCACATCAAATAACCTCACGTACAAGCAGGACAAAGTTATCCAGCCACAATATTGTCCTCTCTAAGTCACAACCATTACATAGTAAGGATACTGGATATCCCACATAAGGGGCTCATACTGTTCTCCATGACTATAAAATACAAACTGAGAATTAACCATTTACTTAAATACGGCTATCAGTAAAAATGAAAAAGTTCAACATCAACTTATTATAATCCTCTAATTTCCTAGTGCAACTGCAACCAATGCTCCATGCCCTATATGACCTTATTAACCATCAGAATGCAAATGGTATGAAAAGAAGCAAGGCTTAAGTTAGCCACCTAATTCCCACCATACGAGCCAAGCTGTACAGATTTTCAATGATGACAAATTCGAACCTCTCCAGTAATTTGATACATAGATAAACTATGTAGATAGTCATAGATACACCCTTGTATTTCATATTTCACAATTCACCACAATTTTGGAGAAAACTATACAGAAGTTGCATACATAAGCAAGTCCAATCAAGTCCTCCAACACACTTGAGCATGGTATACTCATTCTCGTAAAAAACAATACTAATCAAATTAGGCCAAATAGCAAGAACTCCCATCCGAAGCATCACAAGGAAAAGCAGAACCTTGTGAGTTGTGACTAACCATAACACTTTAAAGATTTGCACTTTCAATTAACAATGTAGAGTAGGGAAAAAGAAAAATTAAATACGGCAAACATTTGAAGTCAACAACAAAGAACTAAACATATTTCATATACTCCCAAGATAATTCAACTCATGAATTAGGGGAAATCAGGCTAATTGAACCGCACAAGCCATAAATACCAATCCTGACCTTGGGGCAATTGGACTATCGAGTCCGTTCAGCTGGCAAGGGGCGATTGAATCCCCCACGGCGGTTCATATACTGCCGTGGCTGCCGCTTGGTCACCTTCCTCACGGCACCGACGTCGTTCCCCGCAACAGGCTTCCCCTTGGTGGAATCGAACCCTACTGGAATGCCAAACTTCTTCATCATCTCTATCTCATCTCCGTCCATCATATCCTCGTCCTTACTGGCCTCGTCGTTGCCAGCAGCGTTCTCCTTCTGCTTCTTCTCCTTCGGAGCCGCATCGTCCCTGTGCCTGTCCTTTTCTCGAGAAATGGAGTCATCCTTGTGGCGCTTCCGCGGAGGGGAGGAAGGAGAGCGAGACCGGGAGCGGTGGTGCCGGTGCCGATGACGGTGGCGGTCTCTCTCGTCGGGTGAACGGGTGCGGGATCGAGTGTGGCGGGATCGAGTGCGGTCGGGTGTACGGGAACGAGATCGTTTGCTACGGTCACGGTCACGGTCCCTGTCCCTGTCTCGGTCGTCGCGGTCTCTCTTCCGGTCACCGTCTCTGTCATCTCGATCTCTTCTCCGGTCATCGTCTCGGTCGTCTCGGTCTCTTCTCCGGTCACGGTCACGGTCACGATCCCGATCCCGATCCCGGCGGTCGCTCATGGCGATATAGATCTGCGAATTGAGTTCTTTTTTTGTTAGGGGGGTGCAGTAGGGTTTTAGTGCTCAATTCGGCCTATCATTTGATCAACTTAGAAATATGAGCCCAAGCATCAAGTCCGGGATAGGGTTAACAATAGCTAGGCCCAATAATAACATTAGACCAAATGGGGTAGGGTTGTGATTTGAGACCCATATCCATATTAATTGGAGTGAGCAAACCGAGCCCAAATCGAAAAATTGGGTCGAATAGTGCACTTCGATGCGATTTGTTTCGATTCAGTATAAAATTTTTGGTTTGGTTTAAATTCAATCTTTTTGGACGTAGTACTGCAGTCAATGAGTTCCTTCTTTTTTTTTTTTTTCGAGTTGGTGCGATATTGTACAAATCAAATATGAAGGCAAACGAAATTAAAAAATCAAGTTGCACTATGCAATTCGATATGGTTGGATTCAATTATTTTCATGTGTAGAAAAACTATATATAGCTTTTGATTCAATATGCAAACTATATATAACTATATATATATATATATATATATACATAGCTTTTGATTCAATTTTGGTTCAGTTTTATTACTTTTTGTGATGTGAAAATTTGATATTTTTATTTTTACAGTTCGCTTAGTTTGCAATCTAACATTGTTATTCAACCTTACCTATATTTGCCTATACTCTACAAGTTCGCTTCGTAATGGAACTTGCCTATACTCTGCAAGTGAAATTATATAGTTTTTACTTATAGCAATTATTTTTCCTCAGGAATGCTTACAGAGCCAATTATAGGAAAGCTCCATGTGGGGTTGTCCCACATTGGAGTTGATATGGCACATAAGTGTGATACGGCCCACTTGGTAGATACTCGGTTCGGTTTTTATGAGTAAGCTCGGTCTAGTAACAAGGCGGTCCATGGAAGCTTTAATTGCTCGTTTTCTTCAAGGCTTTACAGGTTAGTTTCACCAAGTATGGGTTGTTAAGCCCATTTACGTATCTAAAGAATAGGGTATTGGGTAGACATTGCTCGGACCATTTATTAACGCGGATTGGTGAAGTGTGATCCGCTCGGCCCATGTGTTCGGCCCATATAAGAATAAAGGTAAAGGAGGCTTAGAGGGATTGAACGGATGAAAGGTGAAGCGTGAAGCACAAGCTAAGCCTTCAGGTATAAATACGCAGACGAGGAATATGGTAAGAGAGGACACTCTATAAACCCTAACCCTACTTGCAGTTACGTACGATTATCTTATACTCTTCTATTCTTTACTGACTTGAGCGTCGGAGAGTTACAGCCGGGAGCACCTCCCGGCGTCATTGCAGGTCTTCGAGAGCTTGAACCGGACGAGGAACGGAAGGGAATCGGGTTGAGGTGTGGAAGTATTATCAGGAGCCATGTGGGACAGCCCCACATAGAGCTTTCCTATTGGTTGTTGTGAGCCAACAATTGGCTTCTTAGCATTATTGTATTTTTCCTACCTAAAATCTCAATGATTTTGTATTGATATACCTAAAAATCCCCGATGCAAAAAACTGACACAGGTATATACCTTTCTTTCACACTATTGTAAATCAATTCACCTCTTCAAAAATTGTAACTATCCAAAAAAAAAAATTAACTACTTATCATCAGCAATAAATCAATATTTATCCTTAATAACAAATCATGCGTTCTCTTATTTAATTGGGCATCCAACCCAACCATATGTAGGTCGAAATATCACATAAATATCACACATTTTGCAATGACATATTATTTGATAACATAAATATTTTCTTTCCATACAAGTGAATTTTTATTTTTTTTAGTGAAACAATTTTATTCATGCTAATGAAATATATACATATGATATTTAATTATTTTTATTGTTATTGTTATTATTTATATCCGTTGGGGGTAATATCAATTATGGTAAGCGAACAACGTTTATTAAGGAAAGTACCTTAAACTTAAATCAGACGCTGTTATTTTCCAAGTCGATCTTCTCTCTCCTTCTTCGTCTTCATTCTCGCTATATAAAGTTCATCAAATAACAGAAAAGCTTTTATTGATCATTCTATAAATCTTCGTTTCCATTCTGTGTTTGCCGAGTTGCAGGTGAAGGAAAAATATAAGGGTCAAAATAGCTGCTATTAGGGTCTCAATCGTCGAACAAATGGGGGCGATTAGGGTTTGCTTTGAATCCAACGACGAAAAGCCTTTCATGTCGGTGCGATTTGGGTATTCCGAATTCAATTAAATTGTTTGATTCTCCTTCTTATTCTTATGAACTGTTCGCGAGTTAAACTTCTAGTTTCTCGATAATTTGAATGGTGAAAATTTTATGCCTATACTGTGCTTTGTCTGAGTTCGAATTGGTGTTTACTACTTTAATTACCACGAATCAAATCTTGATTATAATTTACATCATACAGATTCGTATGATTTTTTTCTCATTTACAGAAATTTTCCTTGCAATTAAATTCTCTCCTGGCATTTTTTCTTTTAAAACTTTCAAATTAGTTATAACCATTTAAGATATTTTTTGGCATAAATTATTTTAATGTTGGTTATGGGTTTGGGACACTCTACTAGATGGTTAGGTGGATGATGAATTTTCTGAAAGATTATCTGTTAGGTGGATGATGAATTTTCTGAAAGATTACTTGGTTAGGGCTTTGGGTTTGGTTGCACTATCTATTTGATATTTTTTGTTTTGTCTTTGTATTTACATTTTCCTACAATTAACCTAATTTTTCCCTTATCTTTTTAAGACTAACCTAATTTTTCTGTATCTTTTTGAGTTAGACCTTTGGTTCCATTCTCCTATGCTCAATAATGTTCACTGGATTTCTTTGCCCCAATCTTGGTAGATGACTTGGTTGGGCTTTGAATTCGATTGCCCTTATTTGTGGCTAAGGGGATTGGGACACTAGATTAGGTTTGTTGTTTTGTCTATAAGTTAAATATTTGTTTTGCCAATGATCTATTTCCTTTTAAGTTTAATATTTTGTTCAATTCTCTTTTATTCTCAATACGGTTCCTCGAGTCTCTTTGCCCTACCATGGGGGACGACTTGGTTTGGGCTTTGAGTTCGATGGTGCTACTATATGGGGCTAAGGGGATTGGACACTAGATTAGGTTTGTTGTTTTCTCTATAAGTTAATATTTGTTTTGCCAATGATCTATTTCTTATAAGTTTGATATTTTGTTCAATTCTCTCTTATTCTCAATACGGTTCCTCGAGTCTCTTTGCCCTACCATGGGGGATGACTTGGTTTGGGCTTGGAGTTCGATGGCGCTACTAAGGGGTTGGGCAGTAGATCAGATATTTGTCTATTTATTAATATTGTCGTACTAATTACCTATTTGTTTCCCTTATCCTTATATCTTTTGTTCCACTCTCATATGCTCTCAATATGGTTCCTCGGATCTCTTTGCCCTATCATGGGGGACGACTTGATTTGGGCTTTGAATTCGACTGCGCAACCTATTTCTGGGTAAGGGAGCTGGGCATTAGATTATTATTATTATTATTATTATTGTTATTGTTATTGTTCTTATTATTTGTTTTGTATATCCTAATGACTATTTTTTCCATTATTCCCTTAAATTTGAGTTGGTTTTCAAGTCTTTCATGTTCTTTCAATAAGTCTCTCCTGTTCTAAGTTCTAAGTCTCTCCTGTTCTTCCACTCTCATATGCTCTCAATATGGTTCCTCGGATCTCTTTGCCCTATCATGGGGGACGACTTGATTTGGGCTTTGAATTCGATTGCGCAACCTATTTTTGGCTAAGGGAGCTGGGCATTAGATTATTATTATTATTATTATTATTATTATTATTATTATTATTATTATTATTATTATTATTATTATTATTATTATAATATTATTAGTGTTATTATTAGTTGTTGTTGTTCTTATTATTTGTTTTGTATATCCTAATGACTATTTCTTCCGTTATCCCCTTAAATTTGAGTTGTTTTTCAAGTCTCTCCTGTTCTTTCATTAAGTTTCATCGAATCCTTTGTCCTAACTTGGGGAATGACTTGGTTTGGGCCATGAATTCGATTGTGCTACCTATTTGTTGCTAACAGGTTTAGCATTGGATTAGATTTTTTGTTTGTCTATCTTTTAATATTTTGGTAACAGTGATCTATTTTTTATTGCTTCCATTTAAGTTTATCCTTTGTTCCATTCTCCCTGCTCTCAAAACTGTCCCTCGGATCTCTTTGCCATACCGTGTATATGACTTGAAGCTTTGAATTCAATGCTACATGTTTGTGGTAAGGGGTTTGGGCATTTGGTCAGATTTTTGTTTTTTCTACATTAATATTTTCCTAAAAATGACTTGTTTTTTATTCTCTCATGTTCCTTTTGACTTGAATTTTTGTTCCATTCTCCAATGCTCCAAATACGGTTCCTCGAATTTCCATGACTTACCTTGGGGGACGACTTGGTTCGGACTTTATGCTTTTATTACCTTTCTCACGAGCTTTGTACATGGTTCTCATCTCTCACGTGATTTATGTGTTTCATATATAATTTGTATGCCCTCCTTTGTTGAGGTACTGGGTTTGAGATTTAAATTAGATTCTGAAAATTATTAGTGGCCTAGGGTGTTGGCACTCACGGTAGATCTTTTGTTTTTCAGTGTAGTTTAACGTTTCCGAGCCATAATCTAGTTCTTAAATTTATTTATTGCTATCCATGCCTTTCAGTCCTAAAGTGGATCGACTCCTTCGACAGCATTCTAATACTCTATTTGTCTATTACCGTTTTTGTTCTTTTCTTTTCTTTCTCTGACCTTGTTTTGGCATTGATTTCAGCTATATATTGAGAGTATTTTCAGCTGTAAAAGGTTGGTTGCATGTCCATGATTGGTAATTTATGATGTTGGTGTCTTTTTTGCAATGGAGATGGTGAATTTTCTTTGAGGACGACTAAATTCTATGATCTAACTGGCGTTAGGGTGAAACTTGGTGATGGTGCTTAATGGTCTGACAGTGTTAGAATCTGTATACTCAT